AAGTATATCTCATGTTGAGAGAGAGAGTCAGCATTTTATTAAGTTCCTCCATGCCTGATCTCCAAGGTTGATGAAGTGGCTGGTAGTAGATGTTAGGGTTTTGCAAAGATGGTATATTTCTTTAGGGAGGGGGAGAATTTCTCTGTGTGGGGCACTGAAGAGGTGCGGTCTTGATATTAAGCAACAAGAAATGATGCAGATTCAGTCACAGGGAAGTGATGAGTGCAGTCTTGGGTAAGTTCACATGTATGTAGCATGTATTTAGGGTAAAAGCATAGAAGGTAAGAGAGTGACAAACATATGGACCAAATGTTGCCTGGAGAACAATACAGTGTCCTTGACTTTCTACCTCCCCCTCTCCTACTGGTCACCATTTTCCTGCTAGCACAGTGTAATGTATTCAATAGCTGCCATTGAATGCATAACTGTATGTGAACAACATAATTGACTTGCCATGTTAAGCTTCGTCCTGGGCTAGGATCCAAATCCATCCAATCGCATTAATAGCCCAGGAAGAACTAACCAATCACTTGTCTGCAAGCTCCCTTAGCGGGAACGTCCGTGATTGGTCCTTATGCATACAACCTTATTGGTTGGTAAATGTACAGTAGGCGTGGCTACATTAGCCGGGAGAGTTTAAAAGCAGGACAGCTGCAATGTAAAAGCTATTCTGGCTATCAGATGTTGATCCGTGTTGGAGTTGTGTTTGTTGTGGAATAAAGCTGAATCTTTGCTGAATCACTCTCCGACTACTTTGTTAAGCGAGCGACTTAACAAACAGGTTGATTCAAAGTGCTATTGCAACTGACATTTACTGAAATGTAAGATACTAGCTGATTTGTGTTTTGGTTTAGGTCTCTTGATTGGAAGTTGTATATGAGATTTTAAAATGGAATGCTGTGTTAGATTACTGCACAAAAGTAGAGAGTTACTGTTGGGATTTTGAAAAACTACAGTATACGTTGCTGCTGTGATGGGAAAAACAAGTTACTTGGTGCAAGTACACTAATTAAGCCAGTTCCAAGGGATCTCAGTCTGCTCATGTGCTGAAGCATAAGAGTAAGTTTGGAGCTTTCCCTAACTTCCCAGCCATTCATGCCACAACTCCTATAGAACCAGAGGTAGATTGGGGAGTCCTGGCTCAGAAGCAAGTTCAAGCTCAGTAATATCGGTG